CATAAAAGTGCATAGAGCCTGCTTTCTTATAGTGAAATTTATATTTTATAGCCGTTATGTAAATAAAATGTATTGCTTTGTTTTCGTCATGATAGTAAACAGCCTATCTTCTGGGTGAATTGGTGCAAACCATTGTCCTGTGTGATTCATGAGGTACTTCATTGTCCTTATGAGAAATTTTCTTTTACTTTACGAGAATGGTAAGAACACGTGTAGATATATGTGAGGCAGGGTGGGGAAGTCAGGTGCTCGTCAAAATACAGAAATGGAAGAAATAACCTTTTTTCCAACTTATTTGACTTTTTTTTTTTTTATTTATTTTTTGTCTCATCCTCTTTTATGTCCGCATAAACACACATTTCCATGTTAATTTTACTGAAAAACTGATTTTAATTAAAGGCACAAATATGTTATTTTTTTCTGTTTTCATGGACTCTTTTAACTGTTGGAATTACCAAACTTTGGCGGCCATTTTCTCGCTAATTTCACCTCTGAAACCAGGCAACCTCGCTTCCTTCAGTCTCAAATATCTTGAGTTCTATTCAAGATAGATGCATATTTATATCATGGGAAGCAAGATCATACCAATAACTCCACATCAGATGCTTATTTCAAACCACAGGCAGTAATTTAAAAATTTTTAAAGATACGCAGGTATAAAATCAACAGCAGTCCATATCATTAACCTTTTCAATGCCAAGGGGTATGCGTTCCGACTGTCAGAACTGATTTTCAGCTGAGCTCCGCATACAGGACAGCAGCCTAATGTCTCATGATTAATGGATGCGTGGTGTAGATTAGATCTAGCGCACTAATGACATACTTTTTCGATTCCTGATCTTCAATTGTCACTTTTTTCACTTTTCTGATTTCCCAGCTCCTCCCATCTTACTCGTAATTTCGAATAACCTGTAAGTGTAAGTCAAAAGTGGATTTACTTGCCTTTTTAAAGTCATTTCGATGTTTACATTTTACGAGAGCACTCCGCCACCTGCAAATCTAGATCTGTGTTTATCGATCGCTTGCAAGCCTAGCTGTAAAGTAGTACTAGCAAATTAGTACCGATATGCGCGTCTTTTATTCTCGAAAACAAATCTACACAGTGCTTGTGGCTAAAACTCTGGACAGAAGAATTAGAGCCAGTTTATTAGCATGATGTATATATGTAATGTATTGGCAACCAGGAAGTCAGTGACGTACATGAATCGCACAGCCCTAAAAAATTCCGCATTTTCATGACGTACCAGGTCTGTCGTAAGGCAACGAAGTGGTTGATGTTAATTTTATATATCTTTGTTTGTTGATTTTTATATCTACCAGTACATGTGTACTAGCTTCAAGTCCTCTGATCGTCACTACTATCATGCACTTCCATATTTGAGCACTACACCAAACTCCTTATTAGTGTCTAAGTGTCAGTGTCAGAATCTGAAGGCATTTTTATGTTGTTTTGTGAGTTTTTGTGGGGTCTTTATATAATGGCTACTTTTGCTAAATCTGTTATTTACAGTCCCCGTTCTCCTGCACTATGAATATGTTTGTTAGTATGTGTGTCTATATGTATGCACATATCTGTGTGAGTACGTATATGTCATGACACTGTGGAATCAAGCGCTTGTCTATTTTTGGGCATGTGGAGTTTTTGGTATCCTCTGAAAGCTCTTTCATAAGCCTTGCTATCAATGAAAAAAAACCCATTTATCTTGCATAGAAGTCGAGATATTTGCAATTGAAGCAGGTGAAGTTGCCTGCTTTCTGTGGTAAAATTATTGATAAAATGGCCGCCAAAGTTTGATAGCTTCAATAGCTTGAGTGTCTATGAGAACTGTAAAAACATGTTATGTCTTTACTCAACATTTTTCTGTAAAATTCATATTGAAATGTGTTTTATATGGACACAAAAGGTGATGAGCCAAATAAAAAAAATTGATAAAAATTGCCAAAATTGAAAAAAAAAGCCTGTTTCTTCGATTTCGTTTGACAAGCTCCTGACTGATTTCACCATGATTCTTCACATATGTTGTGTACATGTGTGTGAATGTGGGTTTGTGCAACAGTATAATTTGGAAAGATATTTGTTTGTTTGACAGTGTTCACAGTCAGTGTTTATCTATTGTTTGTCTTTGTGTCCTCAGCTATTGTGGTGACACAGTCTGCCAAGGTCATGGACCTCAAGCTGGCCATCAAGAGACACTTCACGCTGCGACAGATGCGCACAGGGGGCAGCACCCGAATCAGCTGGTACTGTGTTTGATTTTTATATGTGTTTTATATATATATATATGTATATATATCATGTGCGTATATTATAGTCTCTAGCATGCACATAGCAAACACACTTGTGGTGGACAAATTTTCAGGTCAGAAGTTTGGTCTTTAACGTTTTATTTGTATATTAAATACAAGCTTGTAGATGAAAAAATTTGTTCATGGTGAAATGATTCCCACTTTCCGCCAATTTCACTATACTATGTATGCTATACTGTTTATGTGTATATTATATCTGTGAAAGTTCGTCACTTTGGTCGCCTAAAACTTCCGAACCACTTAACTTTCGAATTTGAAAAAATTAACTCTGGTTTAGAATCATTGAAAGGGTGCACAGTTATATTAAAGAGTCTGAAGTCACTGTAATTTCATTTTAATAGTAATAATAGATAGCATTTATATAGCGCTCTATTTTCAGTTTTTCATTAGTTTCGTTTAGATCTAATCTTGGGAAAGTCCATCTTCTAAGATGCCATGGCAACAAGTAAGGCTTCCGTTCACAAGCAGTGCCTACTGATTCCACTATGACTTGACGATCGATTCTTTTGAGTCCGTTAATCGAACGTCATGGGTACCCACCCAGTGTTTATATTACTGTGGAGATGGCGTGCATGCTCCAGGCAATAATTCAGTCATTTCAAGGTTAAGATTTTTTTTCCAATAGACTTATGAAAATGAGTGGTTGTGTAGGAAGTTTTCATGGCTCTTCCCCAATGTGGCTTAGCCTTATCAGAATTAATGACGAAGGCCGTTTTACTTTTTTAACTTTTCAGTGATAAGATGGGTGTCAGAGGCATTGATCACCATTGCACTGGTTTTGTTTTATTCATTTTACTCCCAAATATTATTTTTTTTCACTGTCTTGTCATGTTAGGAAATAAAAAACTCGAGTGAAAGAAACAAAGTGTGTCGTCTCCTAAATGATTTTGTAAAACATTCATATAAGCAATGGATCCATTGTGTTTGGGTGGGTGTGTGTGTGTGTTTTATCTAATCTGTGTGTGTATATATGCTTCATTCAGTGTGTATGGGTGTGATTTATCCAGTGTTTGTATGTGTGTGTGTGTGTGTTTACTTAATCCAGTGTGTAATATATGTATTTTTCAATCATTGTATGTGTGTGTACTTAATCTAGTGTGTGTATGTCAACATGTTTTTCATTTAGTGTGTGTATGTAATGTATTTAATCCTTTGTTAGAGTGTGCATTTCATCCAGTGTTTGTCTATGTACATTTCATCCAGTTTTTGCGTGTGTGTACTTCATCCAATGTTTGTGTGTGTGTGTGTGTATTTTATCTAGGGTGTGTTGTATTTACAGTGTAATTCAATTTGTGTGTGGGTGTGTATTTCTTTCAGTGTTTGTGTGGCAATTATTTCATCTAGTGTTTGTATGTGTGTATTTATCTATTGTGTCCAGGAGCCACATCTGGAAACGTCACTGGCTCAGCTACAACGGTGAGAAAATGACGGACGACAACCGCAAACTGAAGAGGTGAGTGGGATTATTGTCTGGGTTTTTAATCCTGGTACGTTTGTGATTTGTGAGGCATTGTTACCTGACTGCTCTATGTGTGGATGATTGACGGGTGCTCTGGTGTGATTTGCTCTTTTCTATGAAACATCTATCATCCTTATCTTTCCTCCTTATATGTTTTTCTCGCGTAACAACGCCTCTAAATCTTTTGTAGTGGGTGGTTGGGGGTGCTCTAGTGTGGTTTGCTCCTTCTTTCCTATCAAAAATCTATCGTCCTTTTCTCTCCTCATTTGTTTGTGTATGTTACTCTCTTGTAACACGTCTATTCTTCTGGCGCTCATATGACCTTATGCAGTTGCGAGTGCCGTAAAACCTGTACTAAAACAAAATCAATCAATCGATCAACATCAATGAACAGAGACTAATGTCTGACCAAAGCCATATCAAACTGACATTCCTGAAATTTCCATTCTTTATAATACAATGGCCTGGCACCTATTCACAAAACAGTGTAAATACTCTCAACAGATTTCCAAGTTACAATTATGAATTCATTTTGGCTGGCATTAAGGAAGTCCCTGAATTTATGAAGTTTTTTCTTATTAACGATGTCACTCAAAACTATGATAAATGACTTTGACGAGTATTGTTAACATACTGATTTGTCTTTATCATTATTATTATTATTTTTATTAGTATTATTGTTATTGTTATTATTATCGTTATAATATTGTTGTTATTACCACTACCATTATTGTTGGGTTTTTTTTTTTTTTTGGGGGGGGGGGGGGGGTTGTTGTTATAATACAAAATGATAATAATTATTAAATAAGTTGTAGTGGTATCAGTCTTCTTCTTCTTCTTCTTCTTCTTCTTCTTCTTCTTCTTCTTCTTCTTCTTCTTCTTCTTCTTCTTCTTCTTCTTCTTCTTCTTCTTCTTCTTCTTCTTCTTCTTCTTCTTCTTCTTCTTCTTCTTTTTCTTCTTCTTCTTCTTCTTCTTCTTACTTCTTCTTCTTCTTTCTTTTTCTTCTTCTTTCTTCTTCTTTCTTCTTCTCTGTCCCCTAATTGGTCCAGATTGTGTTAATTGGAAGTTTACAACACATATATAATAAGCTGTGTGAGAGCTTACTGCTTTCTAACTTTAGTTGTTTGGTGAGGCTTGCTGGTCACCACACCTCCTAATTGGTCCAGATTGCTGTAACGGATGTGTGACTGTTTCTGTGTGTAACATCATGTACATGCGTTTCTCTTTCTTTTCTTTTTTTTTCAGTTACGGCGTCCGTAACCGTGAGTTTGTCACGTTCGTCAAGAGACTACGGGACAAGTGAGTGCCGACACGTGTCCGCCCTCTGTGTGGCTGGATTCTGGACAAGATGGGAGGCGAATTGTTTCGCACGGCTGTCTAAATCACTCCAAAACTGTCGCTTTAGAGTTTCCGGCAAGTGCTTCCCACCAACCACCCCGAGGTGGTAATAAAACACCTGTAGGCTGTGCAAGGTACCGGTAGCGTGGCGGCAGAACATGTCATCGCCTTAGAATTACTCTATGCCATCTCTGCATTTCTTTGTTTTTAGAAAATTGTAAAGTTTTGGGGTATGTTTTCTTTCTGTTTGTTTATCAGCAGATTTTCATACTACTGAGCAACCTGGGTTGGTTTATAGAGTGAGACATAATTCTAGCTGAAGGCGTAGATTTCTTGGGGGGTTTTGCAGCCCAGCTCTATCCTCGTCCATTTATCAACAAAGTTCTACTCGTACTTGATGGATCCATCTGGGCTGTACTGGAGCGCACAGATGTTTGTCATGTTTGCATTCTTGCTAGAGTTTAATGACTTCACTGCTCCCTCTCCATAGTTCGTAAAGTTCAAGAAGAAGTCATGCCTCAAATGCTGGACATCATAAGGCTTGGGGTTGCTTCTTGCCGCCTGAATCAGTTGGACATAGTCCAGTGGACAGAAAATGCCCATATCCTTTAGTCGAAGCTCCACTGTCGCGTGAACGGAGTCGACTTCCTTATGTGTTGTCTACGCTCAAGAATTTTCTGTTTGACTGTCTTATTGTTCTTTACACTGAAGTACTGCAAGGCTGTGCCCAGCATCTTGTTTCGATTCTGGTATGTGCCTCCGTCGGAGTCCTTCAAGGTAGGAAAGAAGAAAGGATGCAAACTCGTTGGCTGAAAGTCCACTCTCGGCTTCATTCCAGGCATAGCATGTGACATCTTTAGAACAAAGGTCATACACTGTATAACTGTGCACTGCGCGTACACACACACACACACAGTCCCCTCTATCTCTCCCCTCTCCCTCCTCTCTCTCAGACACATGGTTAGGACAGACTCCCATAGAGCTGATAGAGAGGGCCCAGGCCGCCAGGGTTTCTCTCTTACACATTGTACGAAATGACCGCCGTGAGCATGCATGTGGCAGTTGGGTCGCGACGCTATTGCATGTGGCAAGCCTCACGGACGGGAGAGAGCTGAGGTTACGAGAGACACCCGCATATCCAATGTAAGCAATACGGACAGGCTAGCAGCATGGATACATTTTGTAGTTTTAACCGACCCAGTCAATGTTTAGATCTTAGAAAATAAAATTAAAATCAAAACAAAACAAAAGACCAAGATCTACAGTTTTTAAGAACATATAAGTAAAAGTTTAACTTGATTAAAAGATGAGTTCAACAGATTAAACTAATCTTATATTGTTACTTAGAAAACAATAACAAGTGGTTGACTGTGATGAGGACAAAATGGGGTGGGGGTCGTTGAGTAATAAGTGCGAGAGATAATAGAGGAAGAAGGAGCAGGAGGAGGAGAAGATTATAGAAAGGGGGTTAGTTAACAGTACATATGTAAAACTCACTTTCTGTTAATGCAAAAATATAATTGTTTTGGTCAGGTGGTGCCTCATCGGAGGGCTGGTCCTGCACTAAGCGGTTGTTGAGGGTCTTTGAGTGATGTTTCATGAGCATCCGAATGAACAGAGACACAGCTGCCTTGATCATCTGCACACCATGGTGATAAGCACTTTCCAGAAACACTTTGCCACGCACTGTTCACAAACTGCTGCTTGTACTTTCTTTATCATTTGTTTGTCCACTGCAGCTTTGGGATTCGAATGTGTCAAGATCAACTGCTTCAGTTCTTTGTCAGCAGCTGCAATTATTCTAAAGAAGTGGTTTGATGCTGTAAGTCCCACTCTGTTTTTCCGGCGCACTAACAAACATTCAGTATTGCCGTTCAAATCAGGAATTTCTTCAGCCAGAGTAAACAATTGAGTTGCACAAGGAGTGCTACTGATCACAGAACAGATCCTTCGACACACATGGCCAGCAATGTAAAAAAGGACTTTATTGTGGTAATCAGATGGTTTTGGGATTACCTCAAGTACCCTGCTGTCAGTTCGAGGGCATGGAGCGTCAGTGACATGAACATCATCAATGTCTGATGGCATAACATAAACCGAGCCATTATCACCACTAACAACGTCAACAACAACATGATCACAGTCATATATATTTCCATGAGTGAAACAGCTGAAAGATAATTGAACTTGTCCAGAAACTCTGTTTCCCCAAGCAAGCTGGGGTAGACTGCCATCTCTTTGCACATCTTTGATGCTGTCCTGTACCTGCCTTCCTGTGTGGATGAATTGTCAGGTCGTACTTGAGGAACTGAACTGGAAACTGTGCTACCGATAAGGCCTGTACTTTTGTGTTCCAGAAAGTGGTTGTCATGGATCAGAAATTTATCATATACTTGCGTTTGAAGATGAGTCCTCAAGAAGATGTGGCAGCAAGGCAATTGCATTGACAGGTGAAAGTGGCAAGTACAAGTGGTTGGCGTCACCAGCTTGATGCACTCCTTATGTTGGAATTTGTGACTATCATTACCATCCACTGAGGCTGAGTAAGGCACCCGCTTCCCCAGGTCTTACTCACGGAGGATATTCTCTGCCACAGAGATGCTGATCGCAGCAGAGAATATAGCTTCTTTATCAGGATTGTTTGTCTTGTAACGCCACACAATGCAGTCCAGGACAGTACTGTCCATAAACTTTTGAATAGAGCTCTCGTGCATGGTACTCATGAAAACAAAATTTCTTGCACAAAACAACGTCACAAAAGGAACATTTGTAGGAGGACTGCATAGCGTAGCCCTTCTCTGTCTTTTTTCCATCTCGCAAGCAGAGAACACACACTTTCCTTCGCCCTACAATGCGCACAACTTTGTGCACATCAAGGCTCTCTGGAGCTACAATTGCTTGTGTCGTCGCACGACGACCAGGCAGTTTACGGCCGGTAAAGCCATTTCGAAGGGCCTCAGCGACGTCGACCCTGAATGCCAAGTGGTCATAATGTTTATTGACGTCATATTCATGTTCTGATTTACTCCACAGTACAAAAGCATTGTAAATAGCACCGTTTATGAGATGCCATATGGCATAGCGCCACCACTTTTTCCCAGGCCGGCCCACAGGGTAGTAACTGAGCTGCTGGTCGAACTTGTCCACCCCACCCATAAACATGTTGTAGTCAACGAGTGGAAGTGGACGTCGATCCTCAGCCACACCCATGGGTCGGTTGCTGGACAACAAATGGACAGGCCTCTTGTCATGGAAACTTGTGGCGACAAGGTTCCCCTGCTGCAGCTGTTTCACGTCGCCCTTTTTCAACTTTTTGTTCATAGCTTGCGGGAGGCCTTTCCGGTTTGTCATGATCGTGCCACAACAATACGTGTCGTGTGACAGGAGATGTTTGGCAATTTCCACTCCATTGAAAAAGCGGTCGAAATAAACATGATGGCCTTTCCCGTAGTGGGGTTCACACAAATAATCGACCACCTCATAGGACAGAGGCTTTCCCGGATTTCTACGACCATTTTTCCCCGTATAGAAGTCAAAACCGACACAATACCCACTTACAGCATCACACACTGTCCACACTTTCATCCCCCACTTGGTTGGCTTCGCCGGCATATACTGTTTGAAGCCTAGATGACCTTTGAAACCAACCATGGTCTCATCCACGCTCAGCTCTCTCCCTGGCACAAAACACTGTCGGAAAGTTTCCTTCGTGACATTTAGAGCATTCCGAATTTTGAAGAGAGCGTCAAAATTCTCTTCCCCACGCTGAGGCTGACGACTGTGGTGTCCCGGCAATGAAAAAAGCGGCTCAGGGCTTTGAAGCAGTTGATGGGCATGACAGAACTGACCCAAGGATCGTTGTAGCGTTTATCCTGGGACCAGTAGCACCAAAGTCGAGGAAGGGATCGCACACCAAACATAATTTGTATGGCCAAAAAAGCCCGAAGCTCCTCTGTCGTTGTGTCATCCCACGAAGCGTTAGGGGTGGCGGCAAGACACTGCTCTGCGTAGCGGTTGGTTTCCACGACCAAGGTGTTGATGAGGGTAAGGGGAAACATCAAAAAGAAAATGTCCAGGGGACAGGCAAAAGGCTGCAAACCATGACGAGGACCAGGAGCCAACCTGAAGTCCGCCATCTGGATAGGGGTCGCCGGGTTGGACCACGGACCGTCACTCGCTGCAGAGAGTGGTCATCACCATTCGTCGCTGCAGGGGGTGGGTCATCACCATTCGTCGCTGTGGGGGGTGGGTCATCACCGTTCGTCGCTGCGGGGGGTGGGTCATAGCCATTCTCTGGATCTTCAGGCTGTGGAAAACAATGATTTTTTTAAAAATATGTCAATGTGCGCATAGTAGATATTTACTTGCCCTCACACACATACAACAGAAAAGGACAGAGATACTAGGGGAGGGGGGGTGGGGGTGGAGAAGCCGAGTGTGTGTTTGTGAGTGCAGGCATGTGTGAGAAAGAGGGAGACCGAAAGAGAAGGGGGGGAGGGGGGATTACTCAGCTCCCACACTTCATTTCAGTACACATAAAAGCTCATTCATTACCCAAACTCCAAACGAGTGCTACTCAGAATCTATAAAAGTCTATCAATAAAAGATAAACATAATATATATGCTAATTCTACATATTTCTATACATTCTATATGTAATAGGAAAACATTTTTCTTTCTATATATCTTTAAGATATATAAAGATATCCCCCTCTCCCATGCACTCATAATACAGCATGGCACCCAACATCATTGTCATGAGATCTAGATCTATGTCACACACATCGCAGCACGCGGGAGAGCCCACTGTTTTCTAAGCTTAGGCCTCTAAATATAGATAATACACAACCACAAACCAAAAACAATAAATAAATGAAGCTTATATTTACCTCAGGATCGTCCACAATAGTGTCTTCTTCCCAATCCACCTCAATGTCTGACTCTCGGTCGTTCTCAGTGTCACTGTGCTCCATAGCGAAAACAATAACAACGGACAATGGCGAGACTGAAGTGAAGGAATTCTGTGATACTACACGCTTCGCGATAAACTGTGTCACTACCTTCACCTTCGCGCTAAACTGTGTCACTACCTTCACCTTCGTGCTAAACTGTGTCACTACCTTCACCTTCGTGCTAAACTGTGTCACTACCTTCACCTTCGCGCTAAACTGTGTCACTACCTTCACCTTCGCGCAAGCTCGCTTATATAGTCATGGAATCTTCCTTTGTTCAGTAGCTAACGTCATATTCTAAATTTAGAACAAAATGCATCATTTGGTGACCAATGAGAGCTTGCGAAATAAGAGGTGTGTGACCTGTCGGTTTTTGTCGGGCTGAACAACGCGGGACACTGCGATCAGCTGTCGGTTGTTGTCGGCTTAAACAGTGAGCGGTGTGCTACGGCGTGTCGGTTTTTGGCGGGTTAAACACGAAACGGTTAGTAGACTCTTATTCTGCCTGGGACTCAGTTGCGACTTGTTTCATGAAGAGTTCCAGCGTTTTGGCAGACATATCTGTTCCAAGGTTCTGAGATGTCTGGAAACGACCTGTGACACATGAGAGTGGATGTGTCACAGATGGATCCGGGCAGCTGGAAAAACGGCCCCCAAAATATTGATTTCCGTAAAGTCTTTGTCGATGACAAAGCATGTCGTTTTGGTGGGATCATACAGTGTGGACATGAATGTCGAGACCGCTTGCAGGTAAGTGTTGTCGTCATTCCTCACGAAGGCATGCAGGACGGGAAAGCTGTGCCCGTAACTGTCTATTGCCATGACAGTAAGCAGCTGCATCAAGTACTTATTTGTTTTATATGTGAAGTATAGGAGCAACACATGGGGTAACCAACGAAGCATCTCCACCATTTCCCAGGTTGCAAAGGATAGGTAATTCAGTGCCCCTTCCTCGTCACGTGCAAACGCCACATGCCCTCTGTCATCCTTCGTGTTCATGATAAAGCCATCAACAACAGATGCATCCGACGATGTCCCCTTCAACTTCAATCTCAGGTTTTTCACATCTTGTGAAGCGAGGCATACTCCTTGTGTCTGATCGATGAGGCCTTTTGCCTCTGCTGCCTTGAGGGAAGTTTGTGCCATCATCTCTACTTAAGATACAAACTGCCCTCAATGGATTTTCAAAATTTACGTGCTTCTTCAAGGCTTTTTTTTCCTGAATTACCATACACTATGGTCTTGCCTCATACTGTGCACAAACACACACCGGGTTTCAAAGACTTCTTGCTCCATGTTTTGAAGGTGAAGCCATCATCCGAAGTTTACAAAAGCCAGGACCACTGCGTTCAATTTCTGGTAGGCCTACATTCTGAGACATCCATTTTGGAAATGTCCTTCCCTTCCTTCAGAATGCACTTGGTTCTAAAAAAAACTGTGACTGTATCCTACTTAAAAGCATCAAGTCTTGTGGACTTTAGAAATGCCAGGTAGCACAGTGCCCCTTCCTCGTCACGTGAAAACGACACATGCCCTCTGACATCCTTTGTGTTGTTGATAAAGCCATGAAAAACAGATGCATCCAACAATGTTCCCTTTAACTTCAATCTCAGATTCTTCACATCTTGGAAGCAAGGCATACTCCTTGTGTCTGTTCAATGAGGCCTTTTGCCTCTGCTGCCTTGAGGGAAGTTTGTGCCATCATCTCTACTTAAGATGCAATCTGTCATCAATGGATGGGGGAACCGACAAAGCATCTCCACCATTTCCTGGGTTGCGAAGGACAGGTAATTCAGTGCCCCTTCATCGTCACATTGAGGAGAGTACTTTCGAGGTAGTGGCTTGTCAAGACTTTTGGCAGCTTTTCTTTCAAGAAGATCAGATATACCTCCGCCGCAAGTCTCCAAATCAGATATACTGTCTGTGCTGAGGATGTTATGCTTCCTTAAAGCTGCAATAACCTCAGTTCATTTGGCCTGACGTTTAAGAAGTCGAAGTCGTCTTTTGGATTGTTGAATAAGTCTTATTTTCTTTTGCTCACTTTCCTTCTATTTTCGTTTCAAGCCAGCCTTCACAGGTGTGTCTGCGCTACACTGATTTGATGTTGAAGCACCAGGAGAACTGGGCAGAGAGACATTATCGTCTGTTTATGCAGGTATTAAGCTATCAGTGGTACTGGCAGTACTGCTATGACTTTGAGTGGGTATCATTTCTTTCGCTATAGCTGAGGCTCTTTGTTTTGGGGGCTTCCTTTCAGTTTTACTAATTTTCAAGTGGGATGGAGATGCCTCAAACACGCTAGGCACCGCCCCTGCTCGAAAACGAACAGAGGAGAGAGAGGTTCTGTCTAAGTTCTCCTCTTTGAAAAGACTTGAACACATGTAAGAATACTTGGACGGGTTAAAATCCACACGTCTGACAGCTTGTATCCATTTTTGACGTTGGAACTAATTTTTAAGAAATCTGAAACAAATCACAAAGACTTTGGTTCATCACACCCCCACACGCACATGCACGCACGCTCGCACACACTCATATTAATCACGGTAAATCGTCAGGCATTTTGCTTCATGTTTATTTTTTTTAATGCCAAACAGGATTAAATTCATTTAAATATAGAAAAAAAAATAATGGGAATCTGTAATCTTATCTACTCGCATCGTCCTGCCTGCAGCAATCATCTGTTTCGGCCCGCCATCCCTTTAGCCTTGGTAAAAACACTACAATCTTATTCACAGTCTGTTTTAAAATAATAAAGCATTCATGATCAAACAGTAAGACGTTTACTTAGGGTTGAAAAGTAATTTTGTAAGGCTTCGCTTTTCCTGATGAGCATGGTCATGAACAAATTATAAATGAGGTAAATTGACATAAAAGTTGTAAGCCATTTCAGGGACAACATTTTTGAATGACAGCAAGTCCTGATATTTTCTGGCTGCCATGGGCAAGCGTTCAGTAGTGTATCCAATGTTTTGGAGCTACTGAAATTCTGCAAGGAAGCTCAGCCCAGTCGTCTTCCATGGTCAATTTATACTTTATGTATGCACCATCAGCATCAGCAGAGTATTGATAGGCGCACCTTTAGTTCATGGACAAGCAGTTCAACTTCTGGTATCGTTCGAACGTGCATTGAATACCACCGAAGGTCGTGGTGTTCAGGAGTTTGACCACTTCAGTCTCTCTCTCTCTTATGCAGTTGCGAGCGCCGTAAAACCCCATACTACTAAAAAGACTCTTACTAAAACAAACAAACACACCAGCATGTCATTTGCAACATTGCCAAAATGTGTTGTATTTTGGATAAAACAGCCTACTCAGTAGCTCTCAATGTTTTTTCAGTTTGTGTAGAAGTATGCCATAAAATCATCAGATGCAGTGGTCTGTAATCTGTTCCGCATGATTTCATACTCTACTGCTGATGTACAATTAACCATTAATCTAACAATGCTTACGATAGTATCTCTGTCTTTGTTGCAGGTCGGGGTGTCGGTGGCCTAGTGGTTAGGCTACCGGACTCTGAATTGTGAGATACCAGGTTCAGGGGTTTGGGCTTCGGCTCAGTCCAACGTTTGTATCCTTGGGAAAGACACTTTTACATTTCGCCCGAATTTCCCACGTGACTCAGTCCTTTTGGAGATAGGCGTTAAACATTGAGGCCCCGCCTCTTATCATAATAGTGTTGATAGGTGTTAAACCTATACCAT